GCAGATCCCGGAGATTTCTTTCTGCTTCTGAGATGAACGACCACAACTGCGACAAATGATAGCCTACAATATTCTTGCTTGTTCATTCAAACCTGTTGGTCGTAACATTGCTTCACGTCTGACAAGTGCTTCCCTTAAAAAAATGTTTTCTTCCATTTACTCAATTTTTCCTTCCCCCACCCTTTTGGGCAACTTCAACGTTCACAGAGTGCTATATTCAATCTTAGCGTATTGCGAAAAGTCTTCCTAAATTCATTCATCATTTTCTCCATTTGCCTACGAAATTAGACGATTTTTCGTCCTGACAGAGTGTCAACGCACGTGCATGACGCTGTTTCCATTCATGAGGATCAAGAACACAAATATGCAAGGGAATAAGTACGCGTGACACGTGTGTGGATGTGTCTCAAAGTTGCTCTAGTCTAGACGTGTGCTTCCTTCCCTCTCGTACCACAGTTTGCTTATCGGCCTGTATTACTAGCCTTGGAAGAGTGACAATCTCTTCCTGGAAGTAGAGACGGATATTTTATCGAGTCTACGGCTTATATCTTTGTGGCTTGTTAAGCTGACGCAACTATTCAATAGACGCGTATACAAGTGTTCTTTGTGAATAGAGTTACACAACATTTCTCTGACTCTAACGGTAGAAAGATGTAATGGGCTTAACATGTATGAATTTCGGAACTCGAACCAATTTTTGTCACTAGAAAAACACACTAAAGAAAAGTCGAATTCTACGTCAGAAAGAAACCTCATTCACACTTCGCTGTTATCAAAGTTTTTCCTAGTGACAAGCACACTTTCACGGAAGTTTTAAACTCTGAGAAATACAATGTCCTTTACTAACACTTATCTAACCCTGTACATTGTGCAACACTGTAATATATACCTGAATACAATTATTATTATTTCAGATATTCACACGACGCATAGTCTCCGTACAGAAGTTCTAATTCTAAGTGTTAATTACTTGTCAGAAATCCACTTTCTAAGTTTAAGAATTTAAAAACCGTTGTATTTTAAAATGATTTAATCACGATTACGCAAATCTACGCAAAGCAGAAGACATTTCTATAATCTCCTTATAAATAATACAACAAAGCAAGTATTTACCTTCGAGGAAAGTAGTCGTTGGTAAAGTATTCGAGGAAAATTGTCCGTACTTGCTCAGAATATAACTTGGGACGATTACTTCTTCAACTTCTTCAAGTTTCACAATTTAACAGAAATATCATGGCAATGAAGAAGAAAAGCACTCCTCACATTTCGTTTCACAGAGGATGTAATTAAAAGCGAAGGAATAAAACGGATCTTACCTGGTCTCCCATGTAGCCGCCGTTTGGATGAAACGATGGTGGTACGGAGAGTGAAAGATCTAAATTCTCAGACCTCTGAAACAAAAAACAAAAAAGGCAACGTCAGTTGTATGCAATGAAATAAGGTCATTTTTAAAACTGTAATTTTATTATGAATAATAAACCACACAGTTTTCTAAGAAATATCTACCTAACATGAGGTAGAAAAAGTTAACAGTTAAAACAGTAAAGAAGAATTGTCAGATAAATTCGAACTGAAAATACAAGTCACACGCAACAAGCGAATCAACAACTAGCAACTGCGTTCGGCTGGATACCATATTTTAATATGGCACAATATTTTAACACAATTCCATTACAAACAAATCACATTCTTCAGTAATAATTTGTATTTTAGAAAAGATGACGGGATCTCATTTTGTGGCACTTATTTTTCGAAGTAGAATGTTAGGGATATTCTGCCTATATTATTCTGTCGGGCGCACTTTATTGCACAGGCCGGATAACGCAAAATTTTCATAACGAGAGAAAACCAATTTACAGCGCAATTTACGAAAAGCTTCATGGCGCAATACGAAGATTCCGAACCATAATATGATACTACGCCAAACGATGTTTAAAAAAGCTGACCGGGTTTTACCGCGGCGGGACGTTCCAACGGAGAAGCAAGCGATTTCCCGGTGGAGGAAGGGGGGAGGGGGGCACTGCGCCCCGCGCGCTGAGCAGCGAGGAAAGCGCCCGCGGGCGGCCGCGCCAAGCGTAGTTACCTCATCGTGGAATCCAGGCACTTGCTAAAGTTATCCTGATAACTCGTAATTGTTTAATTAAGTCTAATACGCAACATTTTAAATACTACACGTAATTACAGCACCTGAAGAAGACACTGGGATGAAATATCGATATGTTCCAAAATAACATGAACAATGTCATGAAAAAAGTGAAATTAGTTAATTGGTGTATAAAAATCCGAGTCTTAAAACATTTTTTTGATTTAAAGTTTTTAGTCTAAATGCAATAAACAGTAAAAAAAAAGACTTTAAATGAGTTATTTTTGCAATCTGAGACTTCAATCTTCCGCGGAAATAATGAGCCTTTCAGCACATCTGATTTACCCTGGAATTAATTTATATAATGCATTCAAAAGAAAAACGGTGGAAACAGATAACGTAAACTAGTGTCACCTAAGAATTGAATGTTTGCATGTTAGCAGGGGAAAGAGGGTAAAAGAGATGGAAGAGAAGAAGGAGGGACCGGAAGGGGGGAAGAGGCTCGTGCCTCCGCGCAGAACGCCACAGAGCGCGCGGCGGTCGACTCGAAGACCCGCGCGGACAATATGATCACGCATTTGCAAGTTAAATCAGCTCATTAACAAACACACATATATTTTATTAAACGAGCCGAGGCGCTCTTAATGCACAGCTTGTTTCTCGAATTAATAATAGAGCTGCTTTGTAGCGAGTACGCCAGTACGAGAGAGAGCCCATACAAACTTTCTCGCCTCCGCGCATCTGCGAGTCCGCGTAACGCAAGGTACGAACAAGAAACTTTGTTAACGAGAACACTTCTGTAATGAGTGTCACGGCGCCCGACGAAGGCAGTGCGCGAGATTCAAAATCGATGATGGGAGAAGGATGTCGCAGCGGGCGCGTGGGAGGTTCAACTTCTGGAATTTTCTCGATGCAAGAGAGCTTTCTCTTCGATGCGAGAATGTTGTCGTGTACTGAACACACAACCCCCCGCAGCGCAAACAACATTTTGTAGGAGATTCCCCGAGAGTAATTCGAGGTATTCTTATTATTCCTTCTCTAAGTTAAGGTCTGCTCATGTCCGGAAACGACAACTGTTTGGCCAACCCCTCACTTTACTTTTCGCAAGGAACACTTCGGTAAATATAGCCGACTGCATTAACGCTTTGACGGCAAATGTCAAAAGCATTAAGCCCGGACGTAAACGGCGTTTCGGACATATTTACCTCCACCACTAGGAAGAGAAATTTAGAGAGAGCGGCAGACGGACGAAGCGGACGGAGAGAGAGAGATGGACAAGGAAAGAAATGAAAAACAGCGCGGTACGGAGTTTTAAAACGGGAACGGGATAGTAAACGTTAGTTTACGATTAATAATTGCGTGCCGTAAAAGCGAAGCACCGCAGATTCCAACATGGCGGCATCGCTGTAACGATTGCCAACATTGCTGCCAAAATTGCAATAAACAACTCAATCACAAACCACATAGCATACATTACCCGCACACCAACGCCCAAAAGTGCACATCCAACACACACGAGCTCAATTTTATCGAGAGGAAGTCGTGAATTCATGTCAAACGAGTTACCATTAAAAACTCGCAGACTACAGTCCTATTTGCGAACACAGCATTGCTGCATTATAGTTACTCGTAATAAACTCCCTCTCTCACTCTCGCGCAGAACTCTTTCTAACGTCATACTGCTGTACAAATAAATTTTCATCAAACGTACTACACAAAATCTAGTTAAGTGCTTATTTTAAGTATGCAGCGGAAGAGCGAGAGGGATGGAAGAGATAATTAAGTGTTTTTGATTACGCTATCACAGATTTGAAACGAGTAAAGAGAAGGGTTGAGGAAAATGGTGAGTAGGGAAAGAGGGGCAGGGGAGGAATGTCACAAACTGCGTAAGATAATTTCGCAAAATCATTATACCTAACAGCAAAGATAACAGAGAGTTCAGTTTTATGAACGAGAACGCATTTATGGGAGTTGGTACCGTGGTAATGTCGACTTTACTCACGTTGGCGAGATAGAGGCACGTATAATTACGATATTTAACTGTCACACAAGGAACACCGTGACAGACTTTTAACGAGTTTTCGCGGCAATAACGAGGACGCAATCACTTTCTTTTTACGCCCGCGGGGCCGCTGAAGCTGCACGACGCCGCTTTTTATTGTGAAATGTCCGGTCACCCCGCGAGACGAAGCGGCACCCGCGCGTCAGCGAGTGCGTTTGTCCAGCGGCGCCGGGCCGCTTGCACGTCAACCCCTTGGCGGTCGGCGATTGCTTCCTGAAGATACGCGGAATACCTCGACCTGCAATGGCAGACCAGAGGAAAATTAGGTCGATTGAAACACAGGGGACTTGTCATTGGCTGACAATTCAATTCGGTAACAAATGTAAAGACAAAGTTGTTGATAACACGAAATGTACTGGGAAGGGGCTAGTTTCTTCTATTCCAATGGAAGCTCTTAGCAGGAAGCATTTGGGAACTACGTTAGAAAGCGGATTCGGATTCGACTAATACACCTATGAATTTCGGGGCGAGTACGTGCAAAATCCGTATCATCTGGCAACACGCTAGTTCAGGCAGATCAACCAGATGGCGGATATTTCGACTCAATTCGTGGATACCTCATGTGAAAAACCCATTAACGTTCGTTCGAGTGAGTTAAGTAGGATCAATAAACAAATAATTCTAATATCATAATCAAAATATATTGTAATAAAAAACATAGTGAAATATTGTAGTGGAAACTGTATGTGTGAATAATTAACAAACATGTACCTGTAAAAATGTAATTCAAATTGCCAATGACCAACATGTCGATGTGACTATAAATAAACGAAAAACAACACAAGCACGAAAAAAAATTAAAAATGACACCTCGGAAAAAGAAACTTTCATTGCCCGCCGGGTCGCGCGGTGAGAAAAACACAAGCAGGTGCCATGGACATAAGCCCGCGTGAAAGAGAAACTCGACTCGCAGGCTGGCGGAAAGAATAACAATTTCCCACAAAAGTAGTTGTCTGAATGGCATTTGAATACGCCGCGCCAGCCTCCGCGGGACCGAAGGGGCGGGAGTGGCCTGGTTTACCGCATGTGCCAACCCGGAAGCCGCACGCCGTAACGAGGTATCTGTGAGAACGGGAAAGCTAACTCGCAGCTTCATCGCGGGCAAAATTATGAACGGGATAAAGAGAATCACCGTTAGAAACGTGAAAAAACTTGTAATAAAATTAATAATTTTAAGAGCTTACTAAACAGACAAGAGTACGATTCTACAAAATATTTATGTATTGCATTACCACGCAAAAGTAAAGCTATCTCAAAAATAGAAAAGAAAAACAAGAAATGGAAATCGATTCCAAGAAAGTCTAACTATTGAGCGTTCTCGACCACTCGACTGAACCACAAGCAGCGATACATCGACTGCGCTCCCCACCGAAACAAAAATCGAAGAACTCCACCAAGTTCTTCCATCAAAAGGTCATAACGTGCACTAAATAGGAAATCGTACGTGAGACGAACATAAAAGCCCAGAAAGCGTAAAGGCAAGACGCGAAAAGACCGTGAAATGAAAAGTTTCTGTCCGGAGTTTCGCGAGGCAAGGCGGAGTGTAGAGTGATGGGAGACGTTGTAATGCGATGCATCACAAAAAGCTGCACCAGAAAAGCAGTAGGAGACGTCTGTTCGCTTCTCTCCTTGAACCACGCCAAGCAGTCGGAGCGGCCCGGCACCAAGTCGAAACGAAATAAGCCATCAGTGGCACGGCCGCCGCGGGTTTCAGACTTTTCCGCGAAGACTTGAATGGGAGACCGAATTCATCACGCACATTCACCGACACAAAATACAAAATAAAAAGCATCAAGAAACTGATTACGGTAAATTTATTTTTAAAGGCCGCTTAAGTATGCATTTTTTGGCGCTTTAATATTAATCGCTATCGCCGAACACCAATCATGTCGGTCGGTTTTTAAATACCACACCATTTCAGGCAGATAAAGAAACTCTTCTCTCATAGTTTTGAAATAGCCTACAATTTCAAGTCGATAAAGGGAAGCAAGATAACCAATGGAAGCAATCATTCATGTTTCCGACAACGTTCACCCACTCACCATTCTTATCTCGTCAACCATATTCATAGTGGTGTGAGAAGCACTTCGTCATTTAGTGCTTTTTTTTTTTTCACTACGGAAGACAAGTGCCACCAAACGTACACCCTGCATTCGCCGCAGGATGATAAGTAAACTGTCACATCGCTCGATCCAAGTCATTCTTTTGCTCAGAAAATAAACATCGTTAGATTAAAACAACATTAG